TACATTGCGCGTGTACTTGGCGCCTTTTTTTACCTTTTTTTGAAAAATATATATATTCACGGCAAACCACATATATAACATCGTGTTATTTTTATAACCTATTTACGCAAACGTTACTTCTGTAGTAACTTACGATACGATAATTCCTCCGCGTAAACGGGAGATTTTATAGTAACTATTATGATCGGAAATCAAGAGCCACCGTTGAAAGTAGTGAAGGTTACGTTTCTCTGATTGAGAGACGACGACGTATCTTAATATGAATTACTGTAAGTTACTATAGATGTACTCACTCGCGTAAACATATAGTTCGACAACTTTTACAAGACAGCAGCATATACGTACGTGTGCCATTTTGAATATACCTTCCTTCTTTTAAAGATCTCCTCGACATCTCTCTGTGGTTAATATTTCACTTACTACGTTTACACGCAAGCGTTACTTCTGTAGTAAACTTACGATAATTCCTTCGCGTAAACAGAATTTTCCTTCGCGTAAACGGGATTTTGGAGTAACTTATGATAATTTACTCCGCGTAAACGAGTGAATTATCGTAAGTTACTACAGAAGTAACGCTCGCGTAAACATACAGTTTGACAACTTTTACAAGACAGCATATACGTACGTGTTTGTACGATTTTGTAGATACACCTTCCTTCTTAAAGATCTATCGGCATCAGCTCTCTACGGTCAATACTTATATATATTTCACTATCTGTCACGACGCGGCAACGGTCACGACTATCACACACTTACACTTATCCTTTTCTAGGTTGTAAAAAACTGTCACTGTCACGCACTGCAACAGTGCACGAATGCACTCTCGTGTCAAAAATGGGAAAGTGACACACCAGCCGCCATTTTTGTCCGACGTGGACGTTTCTTAAAAAAAAATTTTCCACATTTGGACTTTGCATCGCAATATCTTCGCTCGTAGGGCACGTAACGGAAAAAAAAGACTCTTATTTATAAATCAAACCCCAAGCTATCGATCGAACCTACTTAGAAATTGATCCATTCACTCGTTATTGAGATCTCAAAATCTCGGATACTCGCAACTCATGCGTTCGCGTAAAAGAGTCACGGTGCGTCTCGCTTCGCGCGTACTTGGCGCGAGACACTACCGTGTCTCTTGATATGTACTTGGTAAAAAGTATAACAAAGAAAGAAATCGAAACGGTCGGAAGAAAATGTGTAGGTATTTCAAAACACATTCACTTTATTTTTTATTATCCACAATTTTTCTAATCTACGAGAAATTAAATGTATTATAGAGATTGTTTTTGAAGTACCGGGCAGGATGAGCGTAAAAGAAGTGAATTCAGAAAAAGAAATAGCTTTCTTTAAAAACGCAAGAGAAGCTAAAAATTTTAATTCCTTTCCGTTATACGTCCGTATGTGCTCATTTTGCTTTCAAAGATCTTGCGAGTTCTTTTTCAAATTATTCAATTAGCATGACATCTTAAGAGATGATAAATGTATGATATATCCAACATCATCTTTTGTTCTGCTTTATAATTATAACTTTATAGAATAATGTTTCAAAAACTTTATTATATTCTACTTCCTCTGTGTCAAAATTAAAGATATTTTGTAAAAAGATATATTATTAAATGCTAGAAAATATAAAATTAAGTAAAATAAACCTATTAATCAAAATTAAAAATGCATAAAATTTACAAATGTATTCAAAGATAATTACAAACCTTTTTTCATAAATTTTTTCTCTGTAATATAAAACAACGGGAAAAAATGCCAATGAGCTCGAATATATTATATTTCATAAAAAGCAACTTTACTTGTTACGTTTTTATTTTTGTATTCTTTTCTTTTACTGTTAAATATTCTCTGACAGTCGCAAATATTTCACGAGGAAACAGGTGCGCGGAACTCAAGGTTGCAAATCCCGTGCGAGATGCGACACTCGCAGCGCGAGCGTTGTCGCGCAACTTTCTCAGCCGTGGTCCTTAACAAACTCGTGAAAATTTTTCATTTCTATACCGTGCTCGTTATAAACGGTGCTGCTACGGAGCAACACGCCCTTTTCTCATCACCGCTGCATCACGAAACCCTCCTGTATGCGACACAGGCGATGCCGCGCCGTATAGCGCGCTGTTCTCAGCTCGGCGCGACAAATTTGCAAAAGTCATACAAATCGCCGTTGTACACCTGTACCCTGTCAAATTCTCAAAGTGGAATTAGTCGAAACTTTCTTCAGACCTCCACAAATCATTCCCGCTCTCTCTTCCGTCCGGGCCATCCGTTACGGAAATCCTACCCCGTCGCGACGAATTTCAGCGAAGGCACCGCGAGAAAATGGGAAGAGGGGAAAACTCTCGGAAAGAAATGCCTCGAGGACTCGAGACATATTTCGTGATGGGTTCTCCCCAGGAGACGTTTCTGTCCGTTATTTCTCCCCCGTGAATTAACACGTACTTCAGCGCCCGCCCCCTTCCCTCCCTCTTGCCCTACCGGATAGGAACAACCAATTTCCGTTGTATCCGGGCGATCCGTTACCGGAAACGGACGCGTTTCGCCCTTTGTCTTTTCTTGACCGCGCCGTATATATATACACGTGGCCGGCCGTGCTAAAGCGGGACGTCGGCGACTCTTCGTTTTGCGAATATACACACGTACGTGTGCATGAGAAAGGCAAACTCCGAGAAAACGGACGAGGCAGACGCATAAAGCTTCAGGCTGACACTTGGAAAGTTCAGCAACCCTCCGGCTATAGACCGCATCCCCCTTCGCTGTTCACATCGACCTGCTCTTCCCGCCTTCCCTCCCCCGCCCCCTTCTTCGTACCCTTCCCCTCTCGCAACTGCAATTTCTCTCGCAGTGATCGGCTTTCTTACCCTGTACCGTACACTTTTTTATTAGCTGCTTCGTTGTTTATTCGGACGAATTGGCAGCGCGAAAAAACAGTATCCATTTCCTCTTTACGCTCGCTACGCGATACGATTGATCTGTTTCGATGTAACTCGCAAAAATGTTTTTTCAACTACCGCACACACAAATGAGACGAAAATAATAAAGAGCGTGAAAATTTTACGTTACCTACAATTGTAGAGTAGCCGTCAAGGAAGAAAATGCAGATGAGAATACAGATGAGAAAGAGTAAATGAAGGAGAGCGAGGGTGGCAATTCTCCGGAAAGAACTCTGGAGAGTTTCCGCGCACTCTTGTTACGCAACTTAAGAAATCATATCTACTCAGCATATCTAATTTACGTGTTCGCGAATTTCGACTTTCTTAGAGTGACGAATCACTCGGAAGTGCACAGGCTTAATTTTCATTTTTCATTACACTTGCATTTCACTTTTGAGTAATATTTTACTTTTCGACTTTTAGAGAATAGATTATCACACATTTCAATCTTTTACGTAAACTGTTTCCAAATGTTTGAAAAAAATCTCAATGCTTCGCTTTTTTAAATTCCGTTTTGTATTTTTACCGGTTTTATTAATTTTATACTTTCTAAATTAAATTTCCAAAACATACAAATTACTTCACTCCCTTAATTCGCTGCCGATGATTTAAAAAGCTACAACTACATATAGTCACTGAGATAGAAGCGATTGACTCATTAGAAATTTTTCACACGTGCTGAAGGCAGTTAAAACGTTAATTATTCTGTGCAGAGTTAATCGTTTATTCGACACACGTAGTCGCGGAACAGCGAAAAATCGGTTGATAAAAAAAAAGGAGAGAAAAGCAACGGAGTACATGACAGGAAAGAGGAGAAAACCAAGAACAAGAACTCTCGAGAGATCCTTCCCCCTCCCCCTCGTCGTAAAACTCACGAAATCAACTCCCATTTGCGATCTTGGAGTCCTCGACGTTAACGAACGTCCTTAACGGGAGTGACGTCGGCGATGTCGCCGTGAGAAAATCGAGCGAGAGGCCGAGAGGATCCTCGTAGCGGAAATTGGAAGTCCAGACCGTGCCTGTTCTTCTCTGATCGCCCGGCAAAAACTTCTAAATCGCTTTATTATGCAACGCGATGCGGCCCACATGCAAAAACGTCGTATAACCGCTTGCATTAAAATCCGGAAATTTCCCTATTTTTGGCTCAAAAAAGCCAGGAGAAAGAAACGCCGATAAGACGACGCCACTTTCGGGTAAGGTAAGGTACGACATGAGATGCATTTAAAATTTTCAATAACATCACGTTACGACACCCACTATCACGTGAAACGTATATCTAGTCAATTGCCTTCGTTCTATGAATAGAACTTTTATTTGTTGCTCGACATATATTTTTAAAAATCAATTTATTTCAACACGTAAGTATTATTTCGTCGAATCATAATTTTCAATAAAGCACATTTTTTAATACGTATAAATTCGGCAGTATAGCGAAAAATTCAATTTTATCCCGTGAATTCTTGAGCAAAAATCGCGTCGAGGATCTCGCTTTGCTGTGAGTATAACAGGCTCGTGTCATAATCAGGGGATCTTTTTCTTGGCAAATTTTGACGCGCCCGCGGCCTCGAGGACTTGAATTAAAATTCTTAAGCAAGACACTCAGCTCGATTTGATGCGCAACTACAGAGAGAGAGAAATGCGGACAATTTAACAAATAAAATCCTCTTAAGGATGCGGGGCGCACGGGCAGAGCGCTAGCACATACAATTGGAAAAAGGAAAATCCGGTCTCGCTCTCCGGCGCTCGGCGCCTCGGCAAAGCCTTTCCCCGATTTTATTTCACGAGCTGATGCACCGCGAATAACGTCGTGCAAGACTACGGCAAAATCGGGACGAGCCAGTCGAAAAACGAAGAGACCAGGCACCTAGACATTTTAATCGTGCCTTTAATTAAAATTCGAGGTAGCTTCTGCCTCTCACGTGGGTTCGCAAAAAGGACACAAACGAGCTTGAAAAAACGCCTGCCACCTAACGATCATTTTAGTTTTTTATCAAAAAAAATTTGGATAGAAACTTTTGCACGGACGATTCGGTTCATCAAGGACGTTGCGTAAGAAGTGGCAAGTACTGATGGTTGCGAAAAAAAGAAGGAAAAGAAAGCTCGCATCTTCTCAAGTTTTACCTTTGAATTCCATCTATGATTTCATGAAGCTTCGCGCACCAGCGAGATGTCTCCAATCATACGAAATGTTTCACTTTATACGACTGCAGTGAGCAACCTCGATCTCAGAATGGTTAGATATTTAATATCAATTCTCTTCTTTGAAAACTTGCTAAACAAGATAAGTGATCAATTAAATTTCAACTAAACGAGAACTGTCCTCGCAAATTAGTCAAAAAGACACTGAAAGGAATGAGAAATACCTGAAACACACACACACACACACACACACACACACATACACCATATATATTACTATATAGTACTTATGAAAGAGAAGTACGATGTCATGTCATTAAGTTCTTCTAACTAGAATCTTTTGACAGTTGTCTTCTCTGGCGAAAACCTGCAACTTTTTCTAAACATCAATCATCATTTCTGACGCGAAATTGTCTTTTACCTTCTTGCGCCCGAACGCGTTGATCTTCTTCTGTTATATTTGATAGATTAGATTAGAGGGCCTCTAGATTAGATATTACGGCTAAAGAATAATTAGCAATGTTTATACATCCGTGACGTATGTATAACCAAAGTAAATATATATTTTTTTTTAACAATAAATTAGATAACTGATTTTATTATATAGATTATCACACATTTCAATATTTTACATAAACTCTCACCAAATGTTGAAAAAAATCAATTTTTCGTTCTTCTAAATTTCGTTTCGTATTTTTACCGTTTCTACTAATTTTACATATTTATATAAAATTAAAATACGTAATTCAAAGAGACAAAAAAAAACAATTTAAAAAAATCAGGATATAAAATTAAAACACATGGGATTTCTTTATTCAGATGGTTGCATTTTATTTTCAAACGTCTCGACTCTTTGCAAGTGAAATAACTTTCACGTTTGTATCTTCCAGATATCATCGATCGAATAAATCAATGTCTCCAATGCAGCTGCGCTGTTAGCGCGAGAATCATCTCTGTTTCGAAAACGCACGCTCGATCTCGAACATCTTTTGATTTACAGCGCTCTTGCTATGTCGCTGGAAAACT